GAGAAAATATGTGTACTATTCCTTGAGTGTAAGTGGATCATCATAACGGCCTTCGTCCTCATTATTTTCATGTTGAGCAGGCTGAGGAGGAGGACAACAAAGACAAAGGGCTGGTCTTACTGTCTCAGGGGTGGCAGAGGTGGAAGCAAACTCATATATAAGTGGACTCACACAGTTCAAACCCATGTTGTTCAAGGATCAACTGTATGTATAATAGAATCATAATCTATAGTTTATATATGTATGTATATATGTATATACTATATAGTACCATTATCATGTTCTTTATACATATGAGGAAACTCAAGCCCAGAGAGACTAACTTACTTTTCAAGTTCCAGTGAGCAAATGGTCCTGCAAATGTGAACTTCGGCAGCTAGAACACTAAGGACAAAGGTTTGCCACCTGGTAAGTCTTTGTGTTTGCAGGCCTGTGTGTCTCTGCTGACATGAGACCATGAGGTCATTAAGCACCAGAACTGTGCTGTATTTGTTATTATATTCCCCGTACCTAACATTGCGTGGCACGCTTCAATAAATATTTGTTGAATGGAACTGATGAAGTTCAGGGAAAATTGTTACCAAAGTAGAACTAGCATTTAGAGTCTGTGAGATTAGAGGAGGAGTAACAATTTCTGCCAGAAAAAGAAAACAGCCTGGCATTTCAAGAAGCAAATTGAAGTCCAAATGTTTAGTGAACTTCTCAGTGTTTGTCTTCTTGGGGAACTTCTGCGTTTCCAGCAGTGGGCCAGGACTGGAAAACTATAAGCAGTAAGGAGGTCACTCTATCTCACCCAGGCTGTCAAGAACAACCTTATAACCCTCTCATTGTGTGCCTCTCAGCCAAACACTGCTCAAGGACTCCAGAAACAGAAAAATGCTTTGATTATATTGGAAGTTTGGGGAATATGTTTGAGAAAGAGTTAAATCCCAGGTCTTCAAAAGTTCATCTTTTATGTTTAAAGCATTAAAAAAAAAAAAAAAAATGAGGCCAGTGTGAAGAAAGTCATAAGATTTCCTAATTATGTGACCTAGATTCATAAGCATAAAATGAATAATTAAGATTTGTGAGGGGGCATTAGGTAATACAAAGCATGGTCATATATAGTATCCAAATTAGACCCACTCCAAATTTTACTTTTTTTTTTTTTTTAAGTGAAAGGCAGTGGGTTTTGCATTTGGTTGTTGGCTTTTGATTTTGTTGTTGCCTTTGTTGCTATTATGTTTGTTTTCAAAGAACTACTCTTTAAGTTTTCTGTGAAGTGGTATATTGTGTTCACACTTTGTTTCTCTTTTCCAAACAATAGAACTGACAAAGAAAAATATGCATGTGTGTGGATGCATGCATGCATGCACGTGCAAAAAGACATAGGAATAATGGGGGAGAAAAGATGACTTACCTCGGCCGGGCGCGGTGGCTCAAGCCTGTAATCCCAGCACTTTGGGAGGCCGAGGCGGGCGGATCACAAGGTCAGGAGATCGAGACCACAGTGAAACCCCGTCTCTACTAAAAATACAAAAAAATTAGCCGGGCGCGGTGGCGGGTGCCTGTAGTCCCAGCTACTCAGGAGGCTGAGGCAGGAGAATGGCGGGAACCCGGGAGGCGGAGCTTGCAGTGAGCCGAGATCGCGCCACTGCACTCCAGCCTGGGCAACAGCGTGAGACTCCGTCTCAAAAAAAAAAAAAAAAAAAAAAAAAAAAAAGATGACTTACCTCAGATAAGGAAGGAAACAAAGACACAAATGAGTGAGAGAGAATATAGTCAAGGGCCAGGCATGGTGGCTTATGCCCGTAATCCCAGCACTTTGGGAGGTCAAGGCAGGTGGATCACTTGAGGACAGGAGTTCGAGACCAGACTGGCCAACATGGCAAAACCCCGTCTCTACTAAAAACACAAAAGTTAGCTGGGTGTGGTGGCACACACCTGTAATCACAGCTACTCAGGAGGCTGAGGCAGGAGAGTCACCTGAACCCGGGGAGCAGAGTTTGCAGTGAGCTGAGATCACACTACTACACTCCAGGCTGGATGACAGAGGGAGACTCTGTCTCGAAAGAAAAAAAACCAATTCGAGAATACAGCCAAGAGCCTCCTGGTCTCTGGACCTGGGGCTCAGCAGTGGGGCAAAGGGTTCAGGTCCCACAGAGTGATGATCATAAAACTTAAGCCATCCAAGATGGAAAATCAGGGCTAGGCTCACTGCTTAGAGCTAGTGATACACATATAGGGTTTTCCCACTTATAAATAAGGGGGAAAATCCCCACTTCCCAGCCCTACCTGGTGCTATGGATTTTAGGAGGCTTCCAGCCCAAGAGGGACTGGAGGGCACAGTCACCACCTCACAATTAGAAATGGAACCAAGCTTATTTGGAGATTGGCTTTACAATATTCCCATTACTGTTGTGTGTGAAACAGGGTGCCTGAAATGCTATGGTGAGACCTAGAGACCTATATGGGCCTGAAGGCAAGGGGAAGACAATTTTTAAATCATTAGGTAGGACAGAATTAATATAGATAGAGACAGAAAAGAATGAATAAAATTCTATCATTTAACCCTAGCCTTATTTCCTAGCCTAACCCTAACAGAATAGAAACCAGGAATCAGAAATGCCAGATACCTCTGACACTGGAGATACAGTAAAACAAAGAATAAAGGTGTGTGTGAGAAGCAGTTCAACTCCTAGGATGCCTCATAAACCCCAAATGAGATAACTACTCTCCTCATTTCCACATACACTCAGGGCCTCAAAAGATGAGGTTTATCACTTGAACCGTGGAATCCAATGCCTCTGGACTCAGTGATACCAGGTACAGCTGAGGGAAGAGTGCAGAATTAAAAATGCTCAAAAGGAGAGCCCAGTTTCCTTTTTCACTCAACTCCCAGAAGGTCATCATCTAGGTTTACAAGCCCAGGCAGTAGCCTTGAGGATTCTGGACTATTGGCCCCAGGTGAAAAGACATGTAGTTACTGGAGTACTCTGATTCTGCAAGGAACTAGTTGACTCTCTGCTTGGTACCCAATAGTGAAGCCCATCATTCAGAAAATCCTCACCCCATGTGTTGGCCATTCAATGAACTTTTAAGTGCCTCATCTCTCAATATAAATGGACAGCAAAAAACTTGTCAGTTTTTTGAAGAATACTTCCAACATAATAGATAGATGAAAGTAATTGTTTAAAAGTATCAAAAATAGAGAAAATACAGTAAGTAAGAATGAAAGCTTTTAAAATGTCTCAAAGAGGTAAAATATATTACATTCATGAGACAAGAACAAATACTATTTGGACAACAAGGAAAAAAAGAGTTCTTTGAAATTAAAAATGTGACAGCAAAAATTTTTAATCCAGTTTAGTATTTGAAAGATAAATCTGAAGAAATCTCCTAGAATGAAGTCCAAAGAGCTAAAAATAGGAAATTTTTTAAAATAAAGGATCCTTTTAGGAGGATCAATAGCTAAATATTAGGAGTTCCAGAAAGAAAGATTAAACACAGGGAAAGAAATAATAACAAAACAGTACAAGAATTTCCCATGATTAAAGGATATGGATCTAGAGATTAAAAGACCCCATTCAGAGTCTAGTACACTCTGAACACAAGAAACAAAAACAAACCCTCACCAGGGCATAGTATTATGAAATATTAGAACAGTGAAGGTAAATAAAAGACTTAGGGTCCATAGAGGAGAAAAGCATACAATTTTATACACTCATGTATGAGAGTGGCACTGAACTTTTTTACAGGAACACCAGATTCTACAAGACAATGGAGAAATATCTTCAAGTGTGAAGAGAGGGGTAGTGATTTTAAACTTAGAAGTCTATACTAGGGCAAACCATCAACCAAATGTGAAGGTCGAAAGAAGAATTTTTCAAACTGGCAATATCTTTAAAAATTACCTGCCATGAATTCTTTCTTTTTTAAACTTTTATTTTAGGTTTGGGGGTACATGTGAAAGTTTGTTATATACATAATATCACGTCATGAGAGTTTGTTGTACAGATTATTTCATCACCCAAGTATTAAGCCTAGTATCCAATAGTCATTTTTTTCTGCTCCTCTCACTCCTCGTGCCCCCCACTCTCAAATAGACCCAGTGTCTGTTGTTCTTTTCTTTGTGTTCATGCCATGTATTCTTATTCAGAAAGAAGATGAAGGTTATGTTCTACCAAACAAAGACATTAACCTAAAAAGAGAAAGCAAGGAATGAAAAACTACCCTGAACTCCAACCCAGGAGAGATGCAAAGGTAAGGTAATTCTCACGATGATGGTAAAGGATGTCCCCAGTCAACAGCTGCTCACAAAGATGTAAGGCTTCAAAGAAAACAAATCCGTCTTTTTCTGTCTAATTATTCCACACACCTCCACGCGTGATATATTGCCTGAATTTATCTGACTATACTGAAAAAATGATTGTACTTTGTGACTTTTAGAATCAATTAATGATAGGTACATGGAAAACCTAGGCAAATAAGAAGTGAAGAATGTGTTATCTCTACAGTAAATAATATATAAACTATATACATACATATATAAACAAAATATATAGATCTTGTATCTAGAAGTCTTGCTGAACTTCTAAAAAAGTTCTAAATAGTTCTATAAATTATCTTTGGGTTTCTATGAGAAAATTTTACTGGGAGAAATAATAATTTATTCATTTCTAATTTTATACCTCTTATTTCTTTCCTTATTGCATTGTCTAGGGCCTCAAATGGAAGTCAAAAAGAAGCAGCTTTATTTTATTTCTTCACTTAATTTGAATGCTTCTAAAGATACATTATATTAACTCATTATATACAAACTCAATAAGAAATTCTAGCATAAGTGTAAAAATGACCATCTCTTTAAAAATGTTTATCACATCATGTTTGTAATAAGATGTTAGAAACCACTTAAATGTTCACCAACAGAAAAATTATTAAATTGTATAATGTTATAAACAAAATAAAAATGAACTAGAACTAGATATGTTAAAATGAATAAATCTCAAAATGTAACAAAATTCAAATGTTAAAAATAGAATGTTGATATATTTAAATTTGAAAAATACACTATTAATACCGATAGGTTAGAATAGTTACAATGCTAGTTTTAAGTTTAATTGCTAGACATAAAGACTGAAGAAATAACAACAAACATGACAGCCTGTTTTTCTCTCAGGTAAAAGACATGCAGAGAGATAGACCATCTAAGGTTTATATATGGCCAACCCACAAGAAAATCAGTCCCAGCATTCTTCCATCTGTATCTCTGCCCTTGTCAGACAATGTCTTTCATCCTAGGATCCTAGATGCTTGCTATAACTCTAACCATTATATCAAAGTTCCAGTGGCAGGATGGAGAAACAGGCAAAGGAGATGTTTTTCTTTATTTCTAAGGAGATTTCCTTTTAGTTATACACAACACTACTACCCAATCTTAATGGCCAAATCATGGTACTACAGCATTGCGAGGGCAACTGGGAAACATACTCTTCCCTTTAAAAATCAAGATTTACCTGTTCCAAAGAAGAGAAGAATAGATTATGGTGAGCAATTAGGTAATGATAAACACCCAATTCACAATAACATTCTAATGGGATTCGGCAATTATCTCTGATGAATGAGAAATAAAACGGGAGGGAAAAGAAACACAGAGGGGTTTAACTGTACTTCTGATTATTTACTTCTTAATAAATAGTATTTGAAGCAAATATTTCAAAAATATTAAGATTTGACATAGCAAGGTGGTAATATTTGTCATATTTATTTTTGCTTTCTCCGCATTTATAATATTCCATGTAATTAAAAAATTAACTTAATGTTCAAATGGTCAATTTTGCACCATTGTTCGTTTATTTTAAAAAGGTAATCTAAGCTTCTACATACATATACACAAAAAACTTAGAATACATAAGCTATACTTACAAGACACAAGCTTCATTACAAACTCTCTTATATGAGGCTTCAGTTATTTTGACTTTAAAATAAAACCCTAGATTCATCAAATATCTCAAGTTCTGGCTGCCCCTGATAAATCCTTGTTGTTATTATTAATCAGCATTAGATGAACTCCTACTATTAATACATGGAGATAACTGATCACGAGGCATTCTTCCAAACAATGCGTCATAGAATATACCCTGGGTGTCAATTGCCTAAATTTGTGGTTCCTCATACAAAGGCTGATGCATTCCCCTATTGATTGAAATTGTAGTTATAGGAAGAAAAGTGGAAATAAGACTCTTCTGATAAGCATGGAAGACCATGAACACATTATTTCACTCCTCTTATGACAAAGATCTGTTTAAGTTCACCCTACAGACCTCTGCTTAGTTGATGCTTCGACCAAGAACTTAACCATGAATACATTATTTCACTCCTCTTATGACGAAGACCTGTTTGAGTTCACCCTACAGATCTCTGCTTAGTTGATGCTTCAACCAAGAACTTCATGACACCCCACCACCACCACCACACATAGATTACATTAGGTGCTGATTCTTTTAAACTGCTATGGTGGTCCATAATTGCTTGTATCTTGCACTTCTCTATGCCACCTATCCCATATCCTTCCCTGTACTCTGAATGCCTGTTTACTTGTTCATCTGCCCCATAAGACCCCAGATTTCCTTGAAAGAAGGAGCACTGTTTGGATCACTGTGGTATTCCCAACGCATAGCCCAGGGAATGGTACATAGGTGTTCAATAAATATTTTCTAAATAAATGAGTAACTGAATGTCACTCTTCTCTCTCTGGTATTGTCCTAAACACTGGTGTTGCTGCTTAGTCAGGATAAAGACCCTTGTGGTCCAAAGGCTTCCTTTGTTACATCTAATTTACACGACTATAAAACACTGTGGAAAGCCCAATTGCCAGAAACTCACCCCTGCATGTTCATTTTACAGTAAGTGCTTTTGGAATTTCCCTCAACAAAAATATCAGAATTTAGAGGTCTCAATTGCTGGGAAAACAATTCCCACTACCAATGGAAGAGTCATGAGGCACAGCAATTCACATCATCCTACTAAAGGATTTAGTGTGGATAATGGATTACTGGAATTTCTACATCATGAAGAGAAATGGCAAAGAACAAAATCTCTGTTCAATGTTCAGGCGCCTCATTCATTTCCTGTTTTTCCAGTAAGTTCACATTAGACACAACCCTTAACCTTTTCAGATCTCATCTCTTGTGGAGATACATGCGTCTTCCCAAAGCATTACAAAATCAGAGCCTGAAGCATCTCAGACTATATGATTCCTTAACCTTTTCTGGCTCCTACTTCTCAAAATCACACTATTAAAAATTTGGGGTTCCACTCACCTTTTACAAAGAAGGCAATATATTTAAGGAAACCGTTGTTATAAACTTTATTAGGTATATTAAGCTTAAGGACTTAAAAATCACAAGACATATTGTTGATAATATTGTTGTTACTGTTCATAGTGGATTAAATAGCGTTCCTTCAAAATTCATGTCCACACAGAACCTCAGAATGTGGTATTTTTCAATAGTGTCTTTGAAGATGTAAATTAATTCAGGATCTCAAGATGAAATTATCCTGGATATAGGGTAGATCCTTTGTCCAAAAACTGGTGTCTTTATAAGAAGGGAGGACACAGAGAAATACTCAGGGAAAAGACCATGTGAAAATACAGAGACAGAGATTGGAGTTATGTTGCCACAAGCCAAATAACCCCAGGACCCACTAGAAGCTGAAAGGGTCAAGGAAATTCCTTACCTTCGCCTTCATAGGAAACATGGCTCTGCTAATACCTTGATTTCAACCTTCTAGCCTCCAGACCTGTGAGAGAGTAAAATTGTTGTTTTACCCAGTTTGTAGTACTTTGTTTTGGCAGCCCTAAGAAACTAGTTTGGTTTGAAAATACCAAAACCAGTTGTTTGTTGCAAATGGTAAAAATATTATGTCTATGCAAAACACAACAACAAGAAATGATGTTATCACTGGGAAGCGTATTAGGAAAAAAGAAATTCTTAAGAAGCATTAGGAAACCTTGGTTCCACCCAGGTCCCACCATCTGTGGTAAGTATTGAACTAAAAAGTACTTATTAGGTGGATAATCAGTGTTCATCTCAAATGACCAGTAAAGGCAGCCAATCACACAAATACAACTGGACTAAACATTTCAGAAATTTTTTAAAATAGAGTAAAGGGAATAATCACCCAGCAATTTCTCATTCTGTTGGTCAGCACTAGCAATTTGTTGACATTTCTTCCTGGGAGATGTTTCTTCCATATCCAAAGTTATGTTCAAGCTTTAAACATATGTTCTACTTTTAACATTTAGCATTGTAGCAAACCATATTTCTACATTGTTATAAACTTGTTCATAGTAAAAAAGTCAAACTTTATTGATATACAACTGATAAAATGCTAAATCACATTTTATTGATACCTACATAGATAAAATGTAATATTTCATTGAGGGGTTCTTACATAATTTACTTCAAGTATTCCTTATTGATGGACATAGATCATTTGCATTGTTTTTTCTACTACAAATAGTTGTCCAGTAAATATCTTGTTTCAGAACGTTTAACAATATTTATTATTATTTTCTTGGGATGGGTTCTAAAACATTAAAAGGAGAAAAGACTCCTGGGTCAAGTAGTATAAAAGCAAAATACTTTCTAAAAAAGAGTATACCAATTCATACTTCAACCAGCAGTGTGTGAAGGTGAGAACAGAAAATGGTAGTCTACGTACTGAAATACTTACTAACTTCATAAGCAATAAATGACGCATTATTTTAATTTGTATTTTTTAGAGACTGGAATAAAAGAAAAACACAAATGCCTATGTTATGGCATAGTAATTCCACTCCTAAATGCGTTTATACATCCACCAATTCACTCCCAAGCATATAACCAGGAGAAATGAGTGGTGTGTTCACGATAGCTGTTTCATTCATAATAGTCAAACACTGGAAACAACCCAAATGTCCCTCATCAGCAGAATGTACATGTAAATTGTGGTATATTCATAAAATGAAATATTACAGAAAGATTTTTAAAAGAACAAACTACTACCACATATCTCACAGGCATCACATTACATGAAAGAAGCCAGAAACAAAGGAAAAAAATACTGTTTAATTTCATTTATATGGAGTTCAAGATCAGGTAAATGTAGCTAATAGAAATTGAAATCAGAATAGTGATGGAGGAAAGTGAAGAGTGTTGGTATTGACTGGGAAAGGGCATGGAAGTGGCTGCGAGGTATTGGAAAATTTGTATTTCTTAATCTGGGTGGTGCACAGATGAGCATATGCAGGTATAAAAACACACTGCATTGAAAATTAGTTCAATTTATTACACGATGGTTTTACCTTTATGGAAAAGCAAGAATTATAAAAAAACAAAGTGTGAATTTTGAAGGACATTACAACTAGATGAATCTACTTGTGAAGGTCCTTTAAGGTAAATGGTTCATTGCTCCATTTACCTTAAAGTGAGAATTGGCTTCTGGATGATATCATGCTTTTCTGTTCAGGGAGTTTGGTAATGAACTCACTGAACTATTTACACATATGTTTGAAGGTTACAGAAAACTGGACTTGTGCCCAAAAGACTTAGAGAGTCAAGAAAGTCGTCTTAGCAATTACCATCTGGCAAATCTACCACTTCAATTATTATTTAAATAACTCTTTTAGAGACAAAATCGTAAGCATAAAAAGAAAAAAGCATACTAAAATCTTCAGTAACTGGAGAATGGTACAAACACTAGGAATCAGAACTGCATTCTAATCCAAGTTCTACAGTAAATGATTTCCATAGCACCACACTTCTCTGGATTTCTATCTTTATTTATTTATTTTTTTCAGTCCCTTTCGGTGCCTCCAAATCTTCCACTTGTCTAAATGTTGGTGTGCTTCAGGGCACCATCTCCCTATATAATTGCATATAATTCCATGACTTAAGTACCATATGTAAGCCAATGTCTCCCAAATTTATATCTCCACACATGACCTCTCACCTAAACTTCATACTCAAAAATGTAACTTCCTGCTTAACATCCTCATTAGATATTTAATAGGCATCTCCAGTTTAAGGCCTTGATTTTCCATACACACTTGAGTCTCCAAAAAGTATTCCTCCTCCAACTTCTCCAACTGAGGACAAAGTTAACCACACTGCTCAAAGCCCCCTACCCAGAAATAGAAGAATCATAAAACTGGGAAAGTCCTTTCCCATTTTTGCTTTTAGGGCAAAGTCTCTCCAAACAAGAAGGAAAGCTTCATCAGTGTAAGCAACTTGTTTTGTTAATTGCTAACATCACCGGTGACTAGAACAATGCCTGGCATGTTTTAGGAACATGACAGGAACATGTAGGATCAATGAATGAATGATATATTGAACATCATAATTTCCTAATTGGAATAACTTCTAATTATATATAAAGAACCATCTTTAGTAGTACTTCATTTAGTCATTGGATTGTTGTGAGGTTCAAATAAATTACATTATAGAAAATGTCTTTTATTTTTTGGCAATAAAATGGTAGATTGCTCTACTAGTCTCTGTAGAACAATGGCTTTTCAACTCTGACATTGTCATTTGTAGGTGAAAGTGGGAAGGTTTGTGTTTAAATCTGGACTCTGGATTTAATTGGGGGGACCTTAATTAATTGGAGAACCTTGGATTATGTGTTTAATCTCTCTGGTACTCTCATCCATAAATTGAATATAAGTAAATCTGCCTCATAAGATTGCATTACAAATTACTTTAAATGATACAATATTTATGAGAGTGCCAAACAAGTACAAGGTCCTCAAAAAATAACAACAACAACAACAAAAATGATGACAGCAATTGCCATCCTGACTGGCATGAGATGGTATCTCATTGTGGTTTTGATTTGCATTTCTCTAATGACCAGTGATGTTGGGCTTTTTTTTTTCATGTTTGTTGGCCGCATGAATGTCTTCTTTTGAGAAGTGTCAGTTTATGTCCTTTGCCCACTTTTTAATGGGGTTGTTTTTCCTTGTAAATTTGGTTAAGTTCCTTGTAGATTCTGGATATGAGACCTTTGTCAGATGGATAGATTGCAAAAATTTTCTCCTACACTCTGTAGGTTGCCTTTTTGCTCTGATGATAGTTTCTTTCACTGTGCAGAAGCTCTTTAGTATAATTATATTCCATTTGTCAATTTTTGCTTTTGTTGTAATTGCTTTTGGCAATCTCGTCATGAAATCTTTGCCCTTACATATGTCCTGAATGGTACTGCCTAGAAAAATAGCTAATGCATGCTAGGCTTAATACCTAGGTTACAGATTGATAAGTGCAGCAAACCACCATGGCACACGTTTACCTATGTAACAAACCTGCACGTCCTGCACATGTACCCCAGAATTTAAGAAAAAAATTAAAGAAAAATCATGACAACAACAGAAAAACAATGTTTGTGTGAATTATACCATTATCGTGATGTTTCCTTGAGGGGCCAAGTATATTTTAAAATAATTTTATCAATTTTTATAAAGTAGTACATATTTACTGTAGAAATGGTGAATCATACCTACAAATAGTTTTTAAATGAAACTTACCTAGAACCCTGTCTCCCAGACACAATCACTGCTGACATTTTAGCTATACATTCTTCAAATCTTTCTTTACTTCCTCCTTTCCTTCCCTCCCTCTCTCCCTCCATTGCTCCTCTTCCTCCTCCTTCTTCTTCTTCCTCTTCCTCTTCCTCTCTCTCTCTCTCTCTCTCCCTCCGCCTCTCTCTCTCGCTGGAGTGCAGTGGTGAGATCACAGCTCACTGCATGCAACCTCCATCCTTTGGGCTCAAGCGATTCTCCCACCTCAGGATTACAGGCGCACACCACAATGCCCTGCTAATTTCTTTATTTTTTGTAGAGACAGGGTTTCGCCATGTTTCCCAGGCTGGTCTCAAACTCCTGGGCTCAGATGATCCACCTGCCTCAGCCTGCCGAAGTGCCAGGATTACAGTCATGAGCTACCTCTTCCAGCCCTTCAAGTCTTTTTAACATCTGTATCTGCATGTATAGTATTTTATCTGTCATTACATTAACAATGTCATCCAAATTCTTAAAGAACATGATTTCTAAAAGCTGTATTTCCTTTTTCTGAGCTCTTGTTGATGTTCTGTTGAATTGATTTATATGTTTACAACTATTAACAATAATAATATTATTAATAAAATTGGGGGGATTATTTCCATGGGTAAAATTCCTAAATGGAATTAATGAATGAAATGAAAATCATTGACATTTTTCTTCCCCCCCAAAATGTGCTAATTTACACTAAAATCAGCAGTGTATGACCACCTATTTCCTTACCTCCTAATGAAAGATTGAATTATAGCACGGAAAAAAACAGCACAAATATCATTGTGGTAAACAAACGAAAAGTCTTACTATTTTTTATTTTTTGTAATATGTAATAATAAAGTTTAATATCAATGTTTTAACAATAATGACTTCATTATATGTGTTACAATGTATACTGTTATATTTTTGTTTTCAAATACAAATTAAAAATTCTACCACCCAATCATAGTGTTTGTCAATTCTTTCTTCATACAATTTCAGACATCTCTCTATGGATAAGAAGATGTCAGAACAGGTATGAAGTTAGGGAGGAAAAGGGGAAAGAAGGGTGAAAGAAGTCCTTATTAGAGATACAGTGTATCCTCATTATTTGTGGATTCCATATTTGTGAATTTGCCTACATGCTAAAATTTGTTTGTAATCCCAAAATCAATACTACTGGAGCTTTTGTGGCCATTCACAGACATGGACACGGTAGCAGAAATTTGAG